ATCCATACTATAAATTATTAGAAGCAAATCACATCAATAGTCACACACACACACACACCCACACACACACACACACACACACACACACACACACACACACACACACACACACACACACACACCATCATCATCATCATCATCATCTGCATCATTCATATCATCGCCTGCATCAAATTCTATCATGATGACAATAATGAATGATGATCATCATTCCCATCATCATCTAGATCATCATCTATTTCATCATTATCACACATACATATAATCCCTTACATATCTGCCCATCCACACATCCATACACATTTATGTTCATAACAGACATATAACCATGCACATCTACAAAAACAGTCTGAGAGAGAGTAAGCGAGAGAGAGAAGAGACATGGAGATAAAGAGTAATAAGTAAAATGTATGTTCCTCAAGCTTCCTGGTGGTAGATATTTGATACATGAAATATTATATATGCTATTGTATATAAATACTGCACAAAAGAGCATTTGTCAAGGACTGGAGACAGAAAGTTTACGTAACCTTTTGACAAGACAATACGATATGTGTAGGTAATAAATGTGTCAATGTAACATTAGCATTAATTTTTCCCACTTCTTTCAATCATTTACACATTTCTCTTTTGCTATTTCCCCTTTACTGTTAGAATGTACTTTTTAACTTTATAATGGTCAAATATAGTAAAAATCAGAGCATTAATATTCAGTGACTTGTGTAGGCATCTAGTTCTGTAAATGTATTGTTTAATTAGTAAAATGATTTGATTGTCAATTTTATATAATGCAGAGTTTTTAGTATTGATCTTGCCAACAAGAAGGGCGTGTTTGTTTAAAGTAAACGGAATAAAAAGAGCTTCTAATAACAATTCTAAACTTTGAACAAAAAAATGAGTTTGATCACATTCCCAAAACAAATGTTCAATGGTTTTTCTCTCTGAGTTACAAAGATTACAGAGAGGACTACCTACAAGTTTTACGTTAAAACGAAAGGAATTGGTGGTTAGAATATGGCGAGATACTCTAAACTGTAACCACTGAAGTTTGGAATTTTTAGTAATTTAAAAAAAGGCATTGCATACATATACTCTTCCAGACATCCTCGTTAAAATCAAAGGTCTCTCCCCACTTTTCTTTGCCTTTAGCAACTAGAATGTTTATATTATTTAAAAATTCATAAAATTTTTTGAACCTCAATCCTCTTTAGAAATATAGCAATGTTGACTGGTAGAACAGGACGAGTTAGTTTGTATTCCCAAATGTAATGGTTTTGTACATATTTTCTAATGGCTGATACTATGTCATTATATTTTAAAAAGTCTCTGTCAATGTTGTATTGATGTATAAATTCATAATATGTAAAGAAAGTATTTGTGTTGTAGTCCTTAATGAAATCTCCTATTAAGTAAATGCCTTTTATACCATCTCGGATAAAAATCTGGTTTGCCACCAATTGTTACGTTATCATTATGCCATAGAGGTGTGTGCAAGAGTGACTTCCCCTTTAGTAGTTTCATGTTATCTGAGTTATCTAATCTTTGCAAAGCTCCCAAAACATCTGTCCAAAAACTATTATCACAATTTTCTTGCGAAATCTTTATATAGTTACCTCCAATATATATCAGTCTATTTACGTTCACTAATTCCTCCAAAATTACTCTCCATTTGCCTGGATATGAATATAATCTTTTAATCCAACTCAATTTCAAAGCATCAATGAAGTTATAAATATTAAGCATTTTTAAACCACCATGAGTATAATCTTGTACAATAACTTCCCTTTTAACTTTATCAACCTTACTGTGCCATAAGAATTCATATAAAATATAGTTTATTTTCTTCAGTTTTTTTTTCATTGAAACTTAATGCAATCTAATATAACTAAAACATATACGGGTGGGATGGAGTTGGGAATGAAAAGGTCAACTGTGAAGGCTATAAAGGTCACTTACTACAAATGAAATTTATCACCATTTTTAGGGCCTGCATCAAAGATGCAAGTTTGTCAGAATAACACCAGCAGTCAACTGACCAATGTTCGAGGTCACTGTGTCAAAAGGTCACGGTCAAATTTTACATCTTTTTATGTGTATACTGACAATGTATCTATGATGGTTAAATATACCCTGACAGGTCAGACACAAAGCCGGATCATTTCTGATATGTCAGTGTTTTAGTTTGTTTTCCAGATAATCACTTAATTGAATTAGGGATGATAAACTTGATTAAATTTCATGCAGTATTTAGCCCTAGGAGGTATATATGAAGTTATTTTCGCGTTATTTTCTTGTTTGTACGTCCTTCCTGCCAAGACACTTGATTTAGGAAGGAAGACTTTCAATTGTTAAAATGACATATTTGTTCATTTCTATCAAGGTCTTTGTTGCTTAGAAAAGTTTATTAACGGCAGGGGACGAGTGTTGCATGTAACACTAACTGTAAACTTGTTTTTTCTAGATTTTCTAAAAAATTGACAACTTTCTTGATAAGAGGCACACTTGTCCATCGACCTGTTTCAAAAGCCAGAATTTTAGATTGTTGGCTGTTCTAAATCAACAGAATATTCTCTTTTCTTCCGGATATAACTAATTCCAATCTGCTTTTAAAAATTAAATAGATTTGTCAACGAGAGGAAGCCCTGTATCATGATACCATTTAAAAATAAATTCGTCATTTAATGTATGTTTGAGGGATCTTTGCTCCCACCATTGCTTCAGTAATGTTTATTTTCACTTTGAAAATTCTATCTTTTCCCTTTTTTCCCTTTTCTTCTCTGTTTTGCTCTTTATGATAAGACATTTGAACATTCCTTTGCAGAAATTGCGATGATAATCTTTACCTGACAAATCCAAAATGGCCGCCTGGAAGCCATTTTGTTTTTCCGATCAGTCCCAAGCACATACAACTAGGGACCAAGAGGAAATCAAACGGGCACAAATAGGGAAAAATAGAAACCTACATATAGAGTTTAAACAAGATCCATCCAAAACGTGTGAAGAAATAACGATAACAAACCTCGTAGTTTTGTTGATTCGTTCTAAAGTTAAATGAGCACAAGTAGTGACAAAGGGGAACTTACATAAAATATTTGAGAGAGATCCATGTGGTACTTCTCCCGAAATAGCGATACTTTTAAAGTCAAAATATGTCGGCCAGTCCCAAAATTAGATGGGCTAATAGAGGTTACAAAAATTGTTGACCCACGGACGATGGGCGCCGTAATGTGAGCGATACAAGAAACATAGGCGGGAAAGGTTGTGAATAAATTCCTTGTGACTTGCATGTAGACACTGCCTGAAGATGGCCGATAGTTCTGAAAACATAAAAAAGAATTAGAATTAAGTTGAACTTATTTTTCATTATGCAGATGTAAATAAATGTACATGGAGTCCTGATGTTTGTTGTTTCTCCTTTCGATTAAACATTATAATACACTTTACACGTTTTATCAACCAATTCCAAATGAACGAACATTAACTAGTCCCAGGTAGAGTTAAAACCATTAAAAATAGTAGCAATATGAACACAATGACATTAATAAAACGTTTTAACCAGGCAATTTTTTTTAATCTGGATTGTCAGTTATTAGTGTCAACTTTTACAGCTGCGTGCCTGAATATATTACATAGCTGTTTTATTGGCGTCACAGATCAATCCCCATGACGTATGTGACAGATTCTCAAAGATCTAATGACGATATTTTGTTTATAGTACTTCCAGTGACAAAGGACCAACATCAATCTGTTATAACACACTCAGTCAATCTTAATGCTACCGTCAGATATACATATCGCCGGAATCATTTGGAGAGTATATCAAACGAGTTTCATTTCATTTTAGAACAATTTTCGTCTCATAATAAAAATAATACAATTAAAAAAAGATATTTATATCACAACGGTGTAATATGCTGTGGAAAAATTTGACCAAATTATACCAGAGTATTTGTTTTGACACTGCTATGATAAATTCACATTGGACAAAGATGTGAATTGCCTTCACCTCGCACACAGTTATGAAACTCTTTCTGATATCAAATACTACCGAAGTTAGTCCAAAGATTTTTAAAAACAATTTTTTGATGAAGATGTCACAAAATAAACCACACATCTAATTTCTAATGAATGCTCAGGTAATGAGGGGATCGGTGTTATAAGATACCTTTAATTTGTTACTTGTAAGCTATTTCTATTGTATTTTCTCTCTGCATTATTCATTGACCTTTTCAGTGTTCTTGTCATGTGTATGCGTGTCTGATATATATATATGATATGAAGCGTACTAGGTCAGGTGAGCTAATTTTGTCAAATTTATTCCACTTTTCACATTTTCTTGTACTTTGGATTTGTGGCTGAAAAGTCCAGTATATATGCATTCGTATGTATACTATTGTTTGTTTATCCCTCCCCGAGTACGTCCTTCTAGGTAAAAATAAGTCACGTGATAGAGTTCACACCTTAATACAGTGTGATTGTGATTTATCAACGGAAACGCGCGAGACTGAATCATTAAGCACTGCCATCATGTTATATAACATGTAAAATAGTGCATCTAATTTAAAGCATGTGTTTATTAATAGAAAACCAATGATTCGGAAACAGATGAAATCCTTTAAAACCACGAGTCATAGTTGTCAGTGCTATTAGAAAAATAAACTTAAAATGTCTCGCTGAAGTGTGGTTCACCGCCTACAGCTAGCGAGACAAGACAATGCCTTGTCAGTGCCCATGTTAAACAATGATCGATTGTGCTTAATTACGAAAGAAGAAGCTTGGCCAACCAAACAACTCTGTTTAAAGGTATGACATAGGTAGGTGTTGACGTCACATTGGATATGGTTAGAGAAAAAAAATTGATCACTTTTAAATATGTAAATCGTCGGAGAAATTCTATATAAAAGGACTGAAATTGACAATATCAGAAGAAACAAAAATACAAACAAGGAGTACATGTTTTTATAAATATTTATTGCCTTATGTTTATACACTACTCGACGATGGTTTTATTTACAATTTTACTTTTACTACAATGGTTACCAGTGATTCAAGGGGATACATCCTCGTCATCAGGAGGTCAGATAACAGGTAGGATGTTGTATAAAGGAGCTGGGTATATTATCAGACCTAACATTATACATTCACCGTGTTTTGCATGCTACATTTTAGATTTTCTTTAATAACTACCAATAAATATACTAGCAATATTAAAAAAACAAAAGTCACGTCTTATTCTTAAGAATTATGAAGTAGAAATATATATGTGCTGTATAGCTTGTCTAATAAATAATTTCACTATTGTATATCCATAGAATGCAAGAGACTGATTGATCTGATTGCTGTGATCGACGCTTCCGACAGCATCAACGATGACGACTTCCGAATGTTAAAAGACTCCATGAACACCTTTATAGACCATATTCATATTAACTCTGCCCGTATGGGTATTGTCGTGTACAGCTCCCGGATCTCTCTGGAGTTACCCCTGACTGGAAACAAGGCGCGCCTTCAGGAAAAGGTCGGAAGCCTACCCCATGACAAGGAGGGTACCAACACAGATCTGGGTATTGAGAGCATGACGAAACTTTTTAAACAAGACGAACGGCCTGGTGTGCCTATGTTAGGATTCGTCTTGACCGACGGAAGGTCAAAGAACCCGAATGCGACTTCCCACCAGGCAGGGCTAGCCAGGGATTATGGTATTAACATGTACGCTGTTGGTATCGGTAGTAAGATTGATGACAACGAACTGAATGAGATTGCTAGTAAAAAAGAGCAAGTGAAGAGAGTTGCCTCGTTTTCGTCACTGGCAGATTCTATAGGAGAACTCGTAAAGCTTGTGTGTCCAAGTAAGTATATTAGTTTAATAACATTATTGGAGTATGGGGTTAACTGTACAGGGACGTAATTTTTTTTTATTCTATTACACCATGACTGTTTTGGTAATGATAACAGATCGAAAGAACGCCCCCGTGAGGATCAAAAGGGATGCTATTATTTTTATCTAAATAATCTATTTCATTCGTTCGTGTTTGAATGATTTTTTTTAACATTTCGGTATTTTCTTGTTTTTAGCTACTTCAACAACTACCACAACGACTACAACAACTACAACGACCACTCCAACTACAACAACGACCACTCCAACTACAACAACGACCACTCCAACAACGACCACTCCAACTACAACAACGACCACTACCACTCCTGCGCCAAGTACAACTACCCCTAATGGCGCGGAGCCGAGCACGCTTCCTCCATCTAAAGGTAGAGTGTTTGTTAATTAACGTGACCATAGTATTACTGTCGGTGTAATATCAATTGTAATAGCTGTGTTTTGAGTCCGGAAAACCAGAAATGGTCCCGGAATTAGACATCAGTCATTTTCGAAGTCTCACTTCCACATTGCAACAAAAGGGCCACCATTTCCTAACCTCTGATTAGTCATTTTTTTATAAACACGTTTGTTTCTTTGCAAACGAAAATTAAAAGCTCGGAAAAAAGCTGGAAAAATTGAAGGTCCCTTGTGCAACACCTAGTGTACAAGTAGAAAAGACTAGTCTGATTCTTTGATGTACATCAATCGCATATCGAGGTCACATAGCGGTATCTTGTTATGGTTGTGAAGTTGGGTGTCGATCTTTTGAAATCTTTAAATGGAGCATATCAGCCTGTGATTGGTCAGTTTTCTGTCTCCTGGAACAAATCAAATCAATTCACTTGTGCCTTCAATTTTTCCATGACATGTTCCAGGGGTGCAGAGAGCGAAAGTGATCGTAACCCCTGGAGTATCTAGGATGGCCAGCTTAACATATATTCAAAAAGCAATAAATATGATATCTTAATTGCAAAAGAATCTTACATGTTACTATAGCTTAAAGAGATCGCACCAGTTTCTATATAAGATATCTCAGTAATTATCCTACATATATGTAACATATCTGATATATAAGATATATCTTATGTTATATAAAATATCTTATATACGGCTAAATATCTCTTATCTTATCTAAAATGGTGGTTTTACTTCGTAAAACTGTCAAATCTCGAGTACTGTCACACGGCAGCCCAATATGTCTTTGGACATATCATATTGATCTTTCAATACAACCAGAACGGACTTTTGTCGTTCTGTATAACCAATATTACATTCTTATGAACTATCCTTGCGGATGAAAAATGGTTTCGTCTCTAGCACATTTCTCCATATCGTCAATCACGCGGCGCGTTCATCTCGCCATCGAGTGCAAATTCAGTAGCGCAATAGATAATTCTTTGAGATATCTAAGTTCCTGCCGCGAACCGTGCGACATTATATTCTATATTAGCTAATGTGTACATTAACAAAAATACCTCATTATTTTGCAAATATATAATGTTTCGATTCAACAGACCGGAAATGTCCAGAACTGGAACTTCGGGACGACTGGCACTACATAGAAAAAACTTAAGTTTTGTATCTTACTCAAAGACAATTATTGAAACTTAACTTTGTGCTAACACATACAGTTTAAATGTAGTTATTGCTATGTTTTACAGTCTTAAAGACAACATTTTTTATATCTGTTACAGGCGTATGTGATGACTGTACCATCGTAAATGGAATAGGTTACAATCCTCACCCAGAAGACTGTGATCAATTTGTCCAGTGTTTCTTTGGTGACAATGGTGAAGTTCGTGCTATAGACAGACAGTGTGGTTTTGGACAATACTGGGACCAAACAGTTCTCACCTGTAGAAAAGCTGCAGAAGTTCCCTGTCGTAGAGGTAAGCGCTTTTACGTTGTTTTACCGTCTTTATAGTGATACGATGTATCCCCAGGGCTGTTATCACGCGTCTGTGGTATAATTATATCCACAGATTTTACTTTCAAGATTAGAAGACGTTATATCAAATTGGTATGATATTAGTTGATAAAATACAAGGATGTTATTGGTGTTTAAGTGTCATCCGATCTAGTCTGTAACAAGACTTTGCTCCAGATCAACAGTAATAATACTAATATTATTTAAGGATTGAATCTTGCTTATGTTGGTCTTCGAAGTTCATTAAATTTGTCTCAAGACAAACTCATTTCATCATCCCATGAAATCGACATAAGCAAGATTCAATCGTTATATTTCAATTCACGCTTCTTTTTTCTATGGCATGGGAACTGACGCAATTTATCTTCTACTTTCGTTTCTCGTCATCATATCGTCTGACGTCATACAAGCAAATTGTCTGTCATTTGAAGACAGATTATTGTGACAGGTTGAAATATATTTCAGCGTGGTTACTTAATATTCAATGAAACTTAAATAAGAACGAAATTTAATATATTTTTCGACAACTTTAATGAAAATTTATATAATAGTGTGCAACAAAGACAGTATGCATTTTTCCCCGCGGAGGAATAACCTCTAGACGTGGTGCGCCGGTCCGCAAATGAAGCGGTGTCGGCCATTTTTTTACAGGCACTGAAGCGGAGAGCAAGAAATATTAAGCTTCAATCGCTTCACATCTTTTGAAACGTAAAGTTACTGTTAGTAAATGTTGAATTGAAATTTTATTTTGATGTTTGTTCATACTTGTGGTATATTGCCAGTCTAGTAGATTTTGGGGAGTTTTCTCTCCTCACCTAATTTTTGTATTCATACGCCCTGGCAATGTTATTCTGGTCATATTCATTGGTAAATGAAACAGATCACATTTAGTAGTTTCATTGAGTCTGATTTGGGTAAAAATTGTTTAATGAAAGAAAAACAAAGCTCAATGACTTGGAGTTACTTCCATCACTTAGATGCATCTAATACATAGAGTCCCGTATCTCCGAAACTCCAGGGATTACCATCACTTTCGCTTTCTACACCCCTGGAACATGTCATGGCAATATTGAATGTTCCTTATTCAACACCTTGTAGACACGGCAAAAGACTAGTTTGATCCTTTGATGTACATCAAACGAATCTCGAGGTCGCATAATGGTATATTGTTATGGTTTTGAAATTGGGTGTCGCTCCTTTGTAAACTTCAAAACGAATGTATCAGCCTGTGATTGGTCAGGTTTTTTCTCCTGAAAGCAATCAAATTACTTCGCTTGTGCTTTCAATTTTGCCATGATATGTTCCAGGGGTGCAGAGAGCGAAAGTGATCGAAATCTTTGGAGGATGAGAACCCTATCATATATGTACATATGTTCACATGAGTTGTATTTTCATACAAAAAGACTCAATTTAATAATTGTTATCTTGCAGAAAAATGCCGGTATCCATTTCTGTTGTCCTATCCTTACGATGGTATAAACAACTGTCGGGCTCACTGGAAGTGTAACATGGGGAAGTCCGAGGGTATGTGTTGTCCTAAAGGTTATTCATACCGACCATACTATGGCTGTCGAGCCGACGAGAGTTGTAATGACCACTGTCCGCCATTATTCAATCACCAGACGGGAGGTTGTGATACAATGATGGTGGTCGGGAATCCAAAGGCTTATAAACAGTACGTAAACGGGTTCGGCTGGATGGAGCGGCCATGTGCTCCTGGTACCCATTACGACGCAATGATTTGTGGTTGCAAGATGTATGATAGTATTGTCCCCGGAAAAGGTAATTATAACGTTTTATAAACAATATGTTATAACAGTTTGAAGTTTCGTTTCGCACAGTTTTCGAATTTTGATTCTTTTCGTTTCTTTTATTGAGAAATATTATTATATATACACCATCAATGAATATCCGGAAGTTACCATTTTGTGTGTTGGTATGTCCGTGTTTCCGTATCGTCTCGGTTTTGGTTCTTGTTTTAGTTTTACTTAAACTTTTTCCGGAATAAAATTGAAGAGATTGAGAAACACGTGTTCTAGTTAAACAACTCTCGCCAAGCTCCCCAAACACAATTCTTTATACAACATTATATTGATTCATTGACAGAATGCAAACCAGTCGTAAATATACCGTTTGATGGAGACGTCAAGAACCATGCTAATGGTAACATACACGTGGAGAGCGACAATGTTGAGGTGGCTGTCAACAACTATGGGTATTTTAACGGTAGCTCCAAACTCTACATCCCCTACTTCGCCAATATGGAGTTCTACACAGATTTTGTCATTATAATGAAATTCCTTCCTGTCAAGCCAGGTGTCCAGGCTTTGCTTAGCAACAGTGATTGTTGTAGTGACGGCGCCACCATAAACATCCTCAAGACGTCGAAAAATATCTATTTCCGGGCAAGAGCTGACGCCAGTGAATCCGCCTCCTTACGTCTTGGAATAGTTGTAAGTAGAAATTTTGTTTTCAGTATTTGTCAGGCATAATCTTGTACGTGGTTCTCTTTGAATGAAATGACTTATTGTAATATGGAAAGAAAAACATTGTAATGGAGTCAAATCATAGTTTAACGACAGATGAATGTGTATTTGAAATCAACTTTTCCAAATTATCACTAAGGATTTTACAAGTGAATAACATCCTTCGGTAAAATTTAGAATGAGGTAGAACAAGCCAGTCAATGAAATACACAGCATATTGTACAACTGTTCGATCTTTCTTGAACTTTTTGGAATCAAAAGTATTGATTTATGCAAATTGATTGATGACAAACTAATGATATGCTGTATAAACTATTTCCAAAATATTTGAAATATTTGATGTGTAATATAAGATCAGTCGTAATATTTAGCCTACATATCTGTCAGAGGTGAAAGGTTTCATATAACAAACAACAAAATAATTGATGACTTGGTTATTTATCCCACAGCATGGCAACTGGAATAAGATCTACTTCATTCACGACCACTACAGCCTTCAGGCGAGAAGTAACGAGAGAATGGCGGAGACGGATGCATTCGGTCCTATTAGGACGAGTTCAACGGGTATACAGATTGGTTATAGCAAAGGATTCGACAGCTTTGTGGGTTTTATGGATTATGTGAAAATCTACATGTGCCGCCCGTCCACTGTGTAACCAGGATACCCATCATATGAAATCTCTCATTATAATCCAGAGACTGACAGAAAACTAATTCGGATATACTTGTCTGTTTCATAGATCAAAACAAAAAATAGGTCACGTGAGCGATTTACTTCAAAGATAAAAAAATATATGCTATTTTTGTCGTTATGGGGGCCTTTGGCGAGGAATGGATGCGTGAATAAATTGGAGGCGTTCTACAGATGTATGTTAAAATAACTCTGATAGTAATATTATGTTTATTTGTAAATAACCTAATAACATTACAACTTTCTAACGCTGTATTTATATCTAATATTGATACATTTTCCTTTTAAGCCATCTCAATGCAGTTGAAAGTATGTGGTATTATTTAGTTGTCAAAGTTACATTAAAAATAATGGAAACGTACAGAATTTCAAAGCCCGACGACGCATAAACTCCGTTTTAGAACAATACAGTTTCACCAGATGTAAAACACGTGTTAAGAACAATACAACACTACCAGATTTAAACACGTGTTTAGAACAATACAATATCGCTAGCTGTCAAACACGTGTTTACGATATTGATGATGTATTATATAACATCAAACAAGTTAGTTGCATGATATTTATTGATAGATATATAATATAGTTGAGATTTTCGTGATCTTTTCTCGTTTCTAATGTGCAATAACCAGACGATCAATGATATCCAAATTGTAATATGTAATTGTATATGACTTTCGGTGATTTATGTGAGGTAACTTCTTGAATAGCGATGTGTTCACTCAATACGTTTCAGAATGTATGTTGACGTGACAGTTTGTGTGAATGACAGTGACTTGAAGATCTTTGTGACAATTTGTGTGAATGACAGTGACTTGAAGATCTATGTGACAGGTTGTGTGAATGACAGTGACTTGAAGATCTATGTGACAGGTTGTGTGAATGACAGTGACTTGAAGATGACAGTGACTTGAAGATCTATGTGACAGGTTGTGTGAATGACAGTGACTTGAAGATCTATGTGACAGGTTGTGTGAATGACAGTGACTTGAAGATCTATGTGACAGGTTGTGTGAATGACAGTGACTTGAAGATCTATGTGACAGGTTGTGTGAATGACAGTGACTTGAAGATCTTTGTGACAGGTTGTGTGAATGACAGTGACTTGATCAAGCATGTATGTTTTAACAAAAGTGCTATGTTTGTTACATATTCTCAGAATATTTATTAACATATTTATATTTTTTGAAATTTTGAACTTGATTAAAATGTGATATCTTATCAGACTTGCTGTTGTGTGTTTATTTGTAGACTTAAAGAAAACAAAATCGATACATAGATATAAACAATCACCTTGTCCTGTTGGACGTAACAGATAGGTCACCTAACCGAGGCCTGTACAACCATGTTGGTTACAGTTTTACCTGTACAACCACGTAAATAACAATTTTACCTGTACAGCCATGTTGGTTTCCATTCTACCTATACAGCCATGTTGGTAACAGTTTTACCTGTACAGACATGTTGGTTACAATTTTACCTGTACAGCCATGTTTGTTACAATTTTACCTGAACAGCCATGTTGGTTACAGTTTACCTGTACAGCCATGTTGGTTACAGTTTTACCTGTTCAACCACGTTAATTTTAATTTTACCTGTACAGCCATGTTAGTTACAGTTTTAACTGTACAACCACGTTAATTATAATTTTACCTGTACAGCCATGTTGGATACAGTTTACCTGTACGGCCATGTTGGATACAGTTTTACCTGTACAGCCATGTTGGTTACAGGTTTACCTGTACAGCCATGTTGGTTACAGGTTTACCTGTACAGCCATGTTGGATACAGTTGTACCTGTACAGCCATGTTGGTTACAGGTTTACCTGTACAGTCATGTTAATTAGAATTTATCTTCAGCGCCATGTTAGTTACAGTTTTCCCTGTACCTGTATCATCACACTAACCAGCCATGTTGGTTACAGGTTTACCTGTACAGCCATGTTGGATACAGTTGTACCTGTACAGCCATGTTGGTTACAGTTTTACCTGTACAGCCATGTTGGTTACAGGTTTACCTGTACAGTCATGTTAATTAGAATTTATCTTCAGCGCCATGTTAGTTACAGTTTTCCCTGTACAACCACGTTAATTATAATTTTACCTGTACAGCCATGTTGGTTACAATTTTACCTGTACAGCCATGTTGGATAGAGTTTACCTGTACAGCCATGTTGGTTACAGTTTTACCTGTACAGCCATGTTGGTTACAGGTTTACCTGTACAACCGTGTTGGTTACAGTTTTACCTGTACAGCCATGTTGGATACAGTTTACCTGTACGGCCATGTTGGTTACAGTTTTACCTGTACAGCCATGTTGGTTACAGGTTTACCTGTACAGCCATGTTGGATACAGTTGTACCTGTACAGCCATGTTGGATACAGTTGTACCTGTACAGCCATGTTTGTTACAGTTTTACCTGTACAGCCATGTTGGTTACAGGTTTACCTGTACAGTCATGTTAATTAGAATTTATCTTCAGCGCCATGTTAGTTACAGTTTTCCCTGTACATGTAACTCGCCGTTATCATCCTACACTAACCAGTCTAACCTGATATGTTGTGATTCGCTGTAATCAATCTATACTATTCTTCCTAACCTTATGTGTTGTGACTCGCTGTAATCAATCTACACTATTCTTCCTAACCTGATATGTTGTGACTCGCTGTAATCAATCTACACTATTCTTCCTAACCTTATTTGTTGTGACTCGCTGTAATCAATCTACACTATTCTTCCTAACCTGATATGTTGTGACTCGCTGTAATCAATCTACACTATTCTTCCTAACCTGATGTGTTGTGACTCGCTGTAATCAATCTATACTATTCTTCCTAACCTTATGTGTTGTGACTCGCTGTAATCAATCTACACTATTCTTCCTAACCTGATATGTTGTGACTCGCTGTAATCAATCTATACTATTCTTCCTAACCTTATGTGTTGTGACTCGCTGTAATCAATCTACACTATTCTTCCTAACCTGATATGTTGTGACTCGCTGTAATCAATCTACACTATTCTTCCTAACCTGATATGTTGTGACTCGCTGTAATCAATCTACACTATTCACTAACTAGTATTCTACCTGATATGTTGTGACTCTAACCTTCCTAACCTATGTTGTGACTCGCTGTAATCATTCTACACTATTCTTCCTAACCTGATGTGTTGTGACTCGCTGTAATCATTCTACACTATTCTTCCTAACCTGATATGTTGTGACTCGCTGTAATCATTCTACACTATTCTTCCTAACCTGATATGTTGTGACTCGCTGTAATCATTCTACACTATTCTTCCTAACCTGATGTGTTGTGACTCGCTGTAATCATTCTACACTATTCTTCCTAACCTGATATGTTGTGACTCGCTGTAATCAATCTACACTATTCTTCCTAACCTGATATGTTGTGACTCGCTGTAATCAATCTACACTATTCTTCCTAACCTGATATGTTGTGACTCGCTGTAATCAATCTACACTATTATTCCTAACCTGATCTGTTGTGACTCGCTGTAATCAATCTACACTATTCTTCCTCGCTGTAATCCTGATATGTTGTGATTCAATCTATACTATTCTTCTGTAATCAATCTACACTATTCTTCCTAACCTGATATGTTGTGATTCGCTGTAATCAATCTTCACTAACTAGTCTAACCTGATATGTTGTGACTCGCTGTAATCAATCTACACTATTCTTCCTAACCTGATATGTTGTGACTCGCTGTAATCAACTCACACCAACCTTTCTAACCTAATATATACCTATATAAATATAGTTACTTTTCTTGTGTTAATTATCATAGGTATTTCATATCATTTCTTACAAACATTAACCATGAAAATTCCCTTTAAAGTAAAGTGCTTGCGTGAATGATGTATCTTACACGGAAGGTGCCTTTACTGACAAATGTCGCGCTCCCTTTGTTTGTGTCATAATGACATTCATCATTCTGATGGTCGTGACCTTTGATAGAATGTTATTGTATAGTGGCCATCTAACGCAACGTTTATCAATAACATCATTGTTTATATTTTTGTTTATAAAAGAATCAGACTTAAACGTAAATCATTGCTGATGTTTCATGTTTACTGCCAATCTTTTAACATCTAATATTGTTATGATTTATCCTGATTTTGTTTGATTCTCATTGATGCATTTTTAATTGGATTATGTCTTATATATAACTCGGAACAGATAAAAACAATAAATTAAAAAGCAAACAGTTAGTCAAATTGTTCCTGAACTCACGAGAAGTCAATAAAATGCATTTTTCTGCGGAAGTCCCATTTTTATTGTTTTAATTATCGCAACAAAAATCTAAGGGAGACAACTCATCTATGTACAGACTTTGATTCTACACACTTGTCAACTGCCGGTGAATTCCAGTGAATTAATATGCCGAGACGTTTGTACACACCTGAATGTAACTCAAAATTTGTTACAACAGCAGTAATGTGTATGAAGCTCTGAATTTAAGAAACACCATACTTATCTACTTTCTATATTGTAGATATAGAATCTAAACGAATATGGAATCGAGGCTTTGCGTTTTATTGTGTGTATGACAAATCGTTCACAATATAAAGGGATAGGATTCACAGAGCCCAAAAATATGTATAAGATAAATGTGTTGTATATATATATGACCGCAGTTAGTTACCTTAATTCTAGTGCAAAGTGACACTTTTTTTAATCCATCTTAACTTGTTAATACTTGATATCAATCAAAAAGCTCGAGGCAGATTTTGAAGTCAGCTCTATTTAAATGTGATCATTTCAGCTTACAGTCCCAACGACATAAAAGGTAGGAGATACATCACCGTTTGACAACTCAGATCTATCTAATATGGAAACACAAACACTGAATATATCCAAATGTCATACGAAATCCGGCCGACACCGATATATCTTGACCTGAAACGCCAAAGTAAAATTGATGTTAATGCAAGTTTGAAACCAAAAAAAAAAAAAATAGTACTATGATATTGTAGGGAAGCGAAAAAAAGTCTGTTGTATATTAAATGGCAGATGAGTTTTATCGTAACTGTAGAAAATTTTAAAAACAAATTTTAAATCCGTATCCAATGAACTATGAGTGGGCGTTTCCTCAGCAGATCATCAGTAAAGAGGAGCGGACACCTGCCTCAGGAATTACTGTACGATTATTTGAATAAAGTATAAGTTAAAGATATTACATACATTACACCCAATGATGGAAAATCATTTGTGTATCTAATTAAATATTTAATTTCAATGAAAATATTTGATGTACATTGTGAGAGAGTGATCAGTCAAAAAGGTGGATTCACAAAAGAACAGACAGAAGAGGTGTGTGTAGTCATGTTTCAGTTATGATATTTTATAGAACATCATACCAGGAAAAGTGTATTAAGCAATGTGTTGGGACAAATCACGCCTTCAAATATTGTAAACCTTCTCTAGCCGAAACTACGAACTGATACAGCAATGTATAGGTCAACCTCAATAATACTCCAGGGGTTACGATCACTTTCTCTCTCTGTATCCTCGATACTCCAGGGGTTACAATCACTCTCTGTATCCTCGATACACCAGGGGATACGATCACTTTTTCTCTCTGTATCCTCGATGCTCCGGAGAGAGAAAGTGATTGTAACCACCGGAGTATCGAGGATACAGAGAGAGAAAGTGATTGTAACAACTGGAGTATCGAGGATACAGAGAGAGAAAGTGATTGTAACCCCTGGAGTATCGAGGATACAGAGAGAGAAAGTGATCGTAGCCCCTGGAGTATCGAGGATACAGAGAGAGAAAGTGATCGTTACCCCTGGAGTATCGAGGATACAGAGAGAGAAAGTGATTGTAACCACCGGAGTATCGAGGATACAGAGAGAGAAAGTGATTGCAACCCCCGGAGTATCGAGGATACAGAGAGAGAAAGTGATTGTAACCCCTGGAGTATCGAGGATACAGAGAAAGAAAGTGATTGTAACCACCGGAGTATCGAGGATACAGAGAGAGAAAGTGATTGTAACCACCGGAGTATCGAGGATACAGAGAGAGAAAGTGATTGTAACAACTGGAGTATCGAGGATACAGAGAGAGAAAGTGATTGTAACCCCTGGAGTATCAAGGATACAGAGAGAGAAATTGATCGTAACATCTGGAGTATCGAGGATACAGAGAGAGAATGTGATTGTAACTCCTGGGATATCGACGAGACAGAGAGAGAAAGTGATTGTAAACCCTGGAGTATCGAGGATACAGAGAGAGAAAGTGATCGTAACATCTGGAGTATCGAGGATACAGAGAGAGAAAGTGATTGTAACAACTGAGTATCGTAGGATTCTTAGAGAGAGAAAATTGATTGTAACCCTTGGAGAGTATACAGAGAGAGAAAGTGATCGTATTCCCAGGAGTATGGAGGATACAGAGAGTGAAAGTGATTTTAACTCCTCGGGTATCGAGGATACAGAGAGAGAAAGTGATTGAACCCCTGGGGTATCGAGGATACAGAGAGAAAAAGTGATAGTAAACACTGGAGTATCGAGGATACAGAGAGAGAAAGTGATTGTAACCACCGGAGTATCGAGGATACAGAGAGAGAAAGTGATCGTTTACACCTGGAGTATCGAGGATACAGAGAGAGAAAGTGATTGTAACCCCTGGAGTATCGAGGATACAGAGAGAGAAAGTGATTGTAAACCCTGTAATCGTTATCAGGATATCGGACACATCGTCGTCATTCATACCTGAAGTTTAAATAATAATGTGATCTCACTGAGTTACAAATGTACGTTTCTTAATCCAGAACACGTAATGAGTTTTTGATTAATGGAAACCTTGTACTCGGAAATAATCGAAGCTAAATTCTGTATGAATGTATTGAACGCTCTCGGTTGTCTCCCCCTTATGACGTCCCATCCGGTCCATCCATGGCAAAAGCACCGGGAAGAGCGGTTTCAAACCTTTCTAGAAAACTCAGATACAAGACAAAACTTCGGATATCGGTTTGGATTTCGACGTTTTGCGGTCTTGAAATGAGATTGGAAAAAAAAAAAGATAAAAATATAGTTCTGTAGTCAGATTGACTGTTGCCATTATACGTACCTCATCAATATAACCCCTGAAGCTGTCAAATCCCCTTCCATAACCGATATGGATGCCTGTGTGTGTCCGTTTGATACGCCCTGTGGAATCAAGGATATGACGTCAATCACACAAAACAGCAATAAGTAATTACGTTACAACATCAATGGTGTTACAGAAACTGTGGAAATTCAGAACTTACCGTGTAAAGGACGTGACTTCATCTTTTTATTACAGCTGCCATACACCTTTTCTGCATCGTAGATGAAGTAGGCATCGTTCCATCCATCCTACAATACAACAGTCATCTATCCTAAAACATTAATCAGATTCTATATCTATCCTAAAACATTTATCAGACCAGACATCTATCCTAAATCATTTATCAGACCAGACATATGATAAATCATTTATCAGACCAGACATAAATGATAAAACATTTATCAGACCAGACATATGATAAAACATTTATCAGACCAGACATAAATGATAAAACATTTATCAGACCAGACATATGATAAATTATTTATCAGACCAGACATATGATAAATCATTTATCAAACCAAACATAAATCATAAAACATTTATCAGACCAGACAAATATGATAAATCATTTATCAGACCAGACAAATATGATAAAACATATTTGTTGGAAACATTGAAGTGTTTCCAACTTCAATGACAACTAATATGAATTGTATGTATGTGATTTGATATCTCATTTGTGACTTTAGCACTAACACCAGTTGACGCTGTCTTTCGTTACCCACGTTTCACTATTGATAGAATACCGATTTATACATAATATGTATTTACAATGAGAATACTGGAAATCACTTACACATTTGGGAAGATTAAATGAACACATCTTGCGATTTTGTGATATTGCCATATAATGAACATAGGATTTACTTAGGATCATCATCAGCGAGGCGTCCTCGTTACAACAGTCACTGTTACTGACCAAGGCGGACAGTCTGCTCCTCTTGCTAGCTGGCCTTTTTGACCTTTTGACCTTGAAACGGATCTTTATAACAATCTCTTTGAAATCTGCATTTGAATATCTGGGAATGACAAGCTTTGACCGGCCATTGAAATATGCATAACCCTTCCTTGTCACTTTTACATTATAGTTTTGAACATAGCTGTGAGATCCGGAATGATCCCTGAGATCCTTTGTAAATGGTAGGTATACTTCCGGTTTACATTTCCCTGTAAAAAAACAGTGTTACATCTATATGATCTAGGTAGTATATATACACGACTTGATTTACGAAATAGATAACGCTGAGGCATTAGTTTCGGGACCTTTAATAATCGCCATGTCGATTGACAACAAACAAATACAGAACTGAATTAAAATGTTTCCATTCTATAAAATTCACTAAAACGCTTACCAATGAAACATTTTTTTTCTATAAATATCCATCGATACGACCTCAAGTTTGCTCACCTAAAATGACCGACATGTATCGGAAATATTACTGTACCTCTGTTTCTGATGAAATTACTGAACACAGAGACGCTTTAATAACCCGACGATGGCCCAGATGTGTACAGATAATGAATCACATAAAACCATCATTTGAATGAGAATAACATTGCAATGAACACATTTCAAAATACAGTCATGATGTAAAAAGATGAATATATATAAGGATATATTTAACAGGACGATGTTACATGTATAGAACGGCAGTATTATGCACAGTTGTGGGATAGCACAACGTTACATGATGTGCGGTGTGCTCCTGAAGACTGCACGATGTGCGCACGAAGGGAAATTTGGCCGCAATAAGGTGTCATTCTATCCTGGTTAATATAAAGGACAGTATTGTATATAGCAGGACGGTGTTGTATATATAGCAGGACGGTGTTGTATATATAGAAGGACGGTGTTGTATATATAGAAGGATGGTGTTATATATATAGCAGGACGGTGTTGTATATATAGCAGGACGGTGTTGTATATATAGAAGGATGGTGTTATATATATAGAAGGACGGTGTTGTATATATAGAAGGATGGTGTTATATATATAGAAGGACGGTGTTGTATATATAGAAGGATGGTCTTATATATATAGAAGGACGGTGTTGTATATATAGAAGGATGGTGTTATATATATAGAAGGACGGTGTTGTATATATAGCAGGACGGTGTTGTATATATAGAAGGATGGTGTTATATATATAGAAGGACGGTGTTGTATATATAGAAGGATGGTGTTATATATATAGAAGGACGGTGTTGTATATATATATGTTGTATATATAGAAGGATGGTGTCATATATATATATATATAGAAGGATGGTGTTATATATATAGAAGGACGGTGTTCTATATATATATAGAAGGATGGTGTTATATATATAGAAGAACTGTGTTTTATATATAGAAGGATGGTGTTATATATATAGAAGGACGGTGTTGTATATATAGAAGGATGGTGTTATATATATAGAAGGATGGTGTTATATATATAGAAGGATGGTGTTATATATATAGAAGGATTGTGTTATATATATAAAAGGATAGTGCTATATATATAAAAGGATGGTGTTATATATATAGAAGGACGGTGTTATATATATATAGAAGTACGGTGTTATATATATAGAAGGATGGTGTATATATATAGAAGGACGGTGGTATATATATAGAAGGACGGTGTTATATATATAGGACAGTGTTATATATATAGAAGTATGGTGTTATATATACTAAAAGGATAAAGAAACGCAGGGTGAACTTTAAACCAGAAATTAAGTATGATATCGGGCTTCATTTAAAACGAAATTTGGTATACTTACAGATAAATTAAAGCTTAAAATTTTCCAAAGTCCGTATTTTGCATCTGACAATTGGTTTAGAGGCACTAACGATTAAACTGAATGGGCCCATAGGATTTTGAAATTGAACTGAGTCATCAATATCTTGTGTGTCCGCCGTTTGGTGTGGTCACGGTCCTTATTCTTCTGGTCATAGAGTTCATGAGAGCGTTAATCCGTCTCATGGGGATGTTGTCCCGCTCTTCAATCAGAGCTCTTGTCAACTGCTCTCGAGTAGCAGAGGGTGGCTGGCACTTTCGAACCTGTCTATCCAACTGGTCCCAAAGATGCTCGATCGCGGACAAATCAGGGCTATATGGCGGCCAATCTAGTGGTTGAATGTTGTTGTTGGCAAGAAAGACTTGGCAAATCCTTGCTACGTGGGGCCTAGCTTTATCCTGCTGGAGGGTTAGATTATGCTGCTGTAAGAATGGGATAACATGGGGTCGGAGGATCTCATCTCTATACTTAGCTGCTGTTAAATTGCCATCAATAACAGCCAATTGTGATTTTAACCCGTGTGAGATTCCTCCCCACACCATTTCTGAACCGCCCCCAAACCTATCCCTCTCTACAAAGCAAGCGTCCGTAAAACGTTCGCCACGACGTCGGTAGACACGTTGACGGCCGTCAGATCGATAAATACAGAATCGAGACTCCGCCGTGAAGAAAACTTTTCTCCACTGCCTCAGTGGAAACCGTCGTAGAGCTTGTGCAGCGACCCAGGCCATACGACGCTGACGTCGAGCAGGGGTAAGGTGTGGACCTACGTAGGGGCGACGTGCTCTTACACCAACTTCTCGTAATCGATTCCTTACAGTTTTTGAACTTATAGGACGCCCATGATTTCCAGGAACATTAAATGCACTCTCAACGGCAGTAAGGCGCCGATTACGCACATAAGAGACGACGATATAGCGATCCTGACGTCGTGACGTTACGCGCGGACGTCCTGACCCAGGTCGATCGGCCAATCGCCCAGTTTCCCGAAGACGTCTTACAAGACGTTCTATGGTGGAAACATTAACACCAAAGTGCCTAGCAACCTGATTTTGCAGCTGTCCTTGCATCAGCATCTGAATGGCCTGACCCCTCTGAACTTCTGTGCCATTCTTAAAACGAATCAAATTCTCAATTAATTTTAGGGAAGCAGTTGGTCTGTATTAAGACTAACGAAGAGTGACTTGACCAACGCTGCATGAGACCAGAACAATACGGTGCACGAGATTCTTGTTTTTCCCTTCCTCCATTAACCAGAGCTGCGCACTGTACCGTGGCTAAATTTTCGATACATGACAAGGTGTAATATGACCTAATTACTTAATCCACAAAGTTTCACTTTATTTGGAGAACGCGTTTTCAAAATATCAGAATAAATATTACCCTACGTTTCTTTATCCTTTCAGTATATATAGAAGGATGGTGTTATATATATAGAAGGATGGTGTTATATATATATAGAAGGATGGTGTTATATATATAGAAGGATGGTGTTATATATATATATAGAAGGACTGTTATATATATAGAAGGCTAGTGTTATATATAGAAGGACGGTGTTATTTATATATATAGAAGGATGGTGTTTGTATATAGAAGGACGGTGTTATATATATAGAAGGATAGTGTTATATATAGAAGGACGGTGTTATATTATATATATATAGAAGGATGGTGTTTGTATATAGAAGGACGGTGTTATATATATAGAAGGATAGTGTTATATATAGAAGGACGGTGTTATTTATATATATAGAAGGATGGTGTTTGTATATAGAAGGACGGTGTTATATATATATATATATATATAGAAGGATGGTGTTATATATATATATATATATATATATAAAAGGACTGTGTTATATATATAGAAGGATGGTGTTATTATATATATATATATATATATATATATAGAAGGATTGTGTTTGTATATAGAAGGACGGTGTTATTTATATAGAAGGATGGTATCATATATATATAGAAGGATGGTGTTATATATATATAGAAGGACTGTGTTATATATATACAATATTTGTATGTATAATTATTTGGTAAGTATATGGTGGTTTTTGTATGGTCTGTGTGTATAATGGTTTTGTTTGTACAACGGTTTATTATCTATGATGGTTTGGTAGATGTTAAGATGGGAGCGCAAACATGTACTTGCCATAAACCTTTTTATCAACTTACGTCTGCGGGGAATGTGAGATTCATGTCCAGTGCACGCGCATTTATCCGCGTTATACAGACTTCCGGGTGCACATGGACGAGGAACCCACATTTTCCATCCTTTAATGAATTGCTCGTAGACTTTAGCGTTACCAAACACCATCCGTGTCTCACATTTTGAAACCAGTGTAATAGACGGTGGGCAGTCATCCTGACATCCGGGGTCTTTTACACAACTACCCTTGCCTCGCCAAATCTTATACCGATATCCCTTAGCACAGCATTTTGCAACCGATCTTCCATTTTTACACTTCCAATAAGCACGACAGTTCCGTAATCCGTGATATCGATAGGATTTCAAATGTGGCCGTAACACACATTTATCTGTAATATGTATAGTACATATCATTCATAACGGAGATAATCTGTATATAAGATATAATGATCGTATCTGGTCAGAGAGTTACCTCCCCTGTAATATTTACTTACCATTGTCACAGTGTGATTGATACGATGGAAGACAGGACAGCACGCTGGAGTCAAAGAAAAAACCAAAAGGACATTCTCGGTGTGTAGCTCTCATGTTCCCGTGAGGTCCGAAGTAACACTGTGTAAACTTACTACAAATGCGAGGATGTGGATTATAGCCAACCCCGTTCATCATACTGCAATCGTCACAGGGTCCTGACAACAGGAATATCGAATTAGATAGAGCTCACTAGAGGGGTTCAAATTAGACAGAGCTTACCAGAGAGAATCGAATTAGACAGCTTACTATAGAGGATCAAATTAGACAGAGCTTACTATAGAGGATCGAATTAGTCAGAGCTTACTATAGGGGATCTAATTAGACAGCTTACTATAGGGGATCTAATTAGACAGCTTATTATAGGGGATCGAATTAGTCAGAGCTTAATATAGGGGATCTAATTAGACAGCTTACTATAGGGGATCTAATTAGACATAGCTTACTATAGGGGATCGAATTAGACAGCTTACTATAGGGGATCTAATTAGACAGCTTACTATAGGGGATCTAATTAGACATAGCTTACTATAGGGTATCTAATTAGACTTTTTGCACCTCGGACTAGAATGCATTGATCTGATTGGACGTTGCTTGCCCCCTATAAATCTATAGGGGGCAGCTGAATATATAGGGGGCAATGGCCGCCATCCATTATCTCTGAAAGGCGTCACTTCGTAATTTCAAATCACAGATTGGCGATATTCACATTCTGTTCCGTGTCGGAATATTGGCTAGAGTGAATCCTAGAAGTTGCTATTATCTAGTACGAGTTGTTTCCCCTACACGAAGCACCTATTTGACTCGGATCAAAAATGGCTGGGCGGTTCGGGCAGACGACAGCTGCAGACAAGGAAAAAAAACGCCTGGCACTTAACGCTGATAAGACGTTAAAAGCTAATAAGTTGGCCGCTAAAGTGTTCAAAGATTATTTGGTGGAAAAGCAGCAAAACCCAGATTTTGAAGATTACGATGTAGTCCGACTGGACGAATGTCTTGGCCATTTTTACATGGATGCCAGGAAATGTGATGGGACATATATATATATTTAAATGGGTCCTTGGTGCAATAAATTCGCCCGAATCCCCCTACCAATCTGACTGAACCCCTATATTCCTGTAGGGGGTCACTAGCAAACTACATAACTAATAATAGCTTCCTATAGGAGATCTAATTAGACAGCTTACTATAAGGGATCTAATTAGACAGCTTACTATAGGAGATCTAATTATACAGCTTATTATCGGGGATCGAATTAGACAGAGGTTACTATAGAGGAACGGATTAGACAGAGCTTACTATAGAGGATCAAATTAGACAAAGCTTGATATAGAGGATCGAATTAGACTGAGGTTACTATAGGGGATCGAATTAGACAGAGATTACTATAGGGGATCTAATTAGACAGCTTACTATAGGGGATCGAATTATACAGCTTACTATAGGGGATCTAATTAGACAGAGATTACTATAGGGGATCTAATTAGACATAGCTTACTATAGGGGATCGAATTAGACAGCTTACTATCGGGGATCGAATTAGACAGAGGTTACTATAGGGGATCGAATTAGACAGAGCTTACTATAGGGGATCGAATTAGACAGAGGTTACTATAGGGGATCGAATTAGACAGAGGTTACTATGGGGATCGAATTAGACAGCTTACTATAGGGGATCGAATTAGACAGCTTACTATAGGGGATCGAATTAGACAGAGGTTACTATAGGGGATCGAATTAGACAGAGGTTACTATAGGGGATCGAATTAGACAGCTTACTATAGGGGATCGAATTAGACAGAGGTTACTATAGGGGATCTAATTAGACAGAGGTTACTATAGGGGATCTAATTAGACAGCTTACTATCGGGGATCGAATTAGACAGCGTACTATAGGGGATCGAATTAGACAGAGGTTACTATAGGGGATCTAATTAGACAGCTTACTATAGGGGATCTAATTAGACAGCTTACTATAGGGGATCTAATTAGACATAGCTTACGATAGGGAATCGAATTAGACAGCTTACTATCGGGGATCGAATTAGACAGAGGTTACCATAGGGGATCGAATTAGACAGAGCTTACTATAGGGGATCGAATTAGACAGAGGTTACTATAGGGGATCTAATCAGACAGAACTTACTATAGGGGATCTAATTACACAGCTTACTATAGGGGATCTAATTAGACATAGCTTACTATAGGGGATCTAATTAGACATAGCTTACTATAGGGGATCTAATTAGACAGCTTACTATAGGGGATCTAATTAGACAGAGCTTACTATAGGGGATCTAATAAGACAGAGCTTAGTATAGGGGATCGTATTAGACAGAGCTTACTATAGGGGATCGAATTAGACAGCTTACTATAGGGGATCTAATTAGACAGCTTACTATAGGGGATCTAATTAGACAGCTTACTATCGGGGATCGAATTAGACAGAGGTTACTATAGGGGATCGAATTAGACAGAGGTTACTATTGGGGATCGAATTAGACAGAGGTTACTATAGGGGATCGAATTAGACAGCTTACTATAGGGGATCTAATTAGACAGCTTACTATAGGGGATCTAATTAGACAGAGCTTACTATAGGGGATCTAATTAGACAGAGCTTACTATAGGGGATCTAATTAGACAGCTTACTATAGGGGATCGAATTAGACAGCTTACTATAGGGGATCGAATTAGACAGCTTACTATAGGGGATCTAATTAGACAGCTTACTATAGGGGATCTAATTAGACAGAGATTACTATAGGGGATCTAATTAGACAGCTTACTATAGGGGATCTAATTAGACAGAGATTACTATAGGGGATCTAATTACACAGCTTACTATCGGGGATCGAATCAGACAGCTTACTATAGGGGATCTAATTAGACAGAGGTTACTATAGGGGATCGAATTAGACAGCTTACTATTGGGGACCGAATTAGACCGAGGTTACTATAGGGGATCGAATTAGACAGAGGTTACTATAGGGGATCGAATTAGACAGCTTACTATAGGGGATCTAATTAGACAGAGATTACTATAGGGGATCTAATTAGACATAGCTTACTATAGGGGATCGAATCAGACAGCTTACTATCTGGGATCTAATTAGACAGCTTACTATAGGGGATCTAATTAGACAGCTTACTATAGGGGATCTAATTAGACAGAGCTTACTATAGGGGATCTAATTAGACAGCTTACTATAGGGAATCGAATTAGACAGCTTACTATCGGGGATCGAATTAGACAGAGGTTACCATAGGGGATCGAATTAGACAGAGCTTACTATAGGGGATCGAATCAGAGAGAGGTTACTATAGGGGATCTAATCAGACAGAACTTACTATAGGGGATCTAATTACACAGCTTACTATAGGGGATCTAATTAGACATAGCTTACTATAGGGGATCTAATTAGACAGAGCTTACTATAGGGGATCGAATTAGACAGCTTACTATAGGGGATCGAATTAGACAGAGCTTACTATAGCGGATCGAATTAGACAGAGATTACTATAGGGGATCTAATTAGACAGAGCTTACTATAGGGGATCTAATTAGACAGAGCTTACTATAGGGGATCGAATCAGACAGAGCTTACTATAGGGGATCGAATTAGATAGAGCTTACTATAGGGGATCTAATTAGACAGCTCACTATAGGGGATCGAATTAGACAGCTTACTATAGGGGATCTAATTAGACAGAGCTTACTATAGGGGATCTAATTAGACAGCTTACTATAGGGAATCTAATTAGACAGCTTACTATAGGGGATCTAATTAGACAGAGCTTACCATAGAGTATTGTATTGTATTTAGTTTATCATTAGGATATTTGATATAATCTAACTAATGAGAATCAAACAAGAGATTTTAGCTTCGATTGCTTAATTTGTCATTATCCACCAAATTAGTTATTTTTTACTTCATTGCGTTTTTTGTGTGAGATAAATACACATATCCACTAATATTATTTACCTTTGATCCAACTAGCCTTTTTCGGCATGGTAGTGGTAGCTTTGGTCGTAGTAGTGGTCGTTGTAGGCGTGGTAGTGGTCGTTGTGGGCGTGGTAGTGGTCGTTGTGGGCGTGGTAGTGGTAGTTGTAGGCGTGGTAGTGGTAATTATGGGCGTGGTAGTGATAGTTGTGGGCGTGGTTGTGGTAGTTGTGGTCGTGGTTGTTGTGGTCGTTGTAGCTGCAAAATATTTAAGCAAAAAAAGGTTGCGTAAACATTTGTATTTGGTGGTAACGGTACTATACATGGTGGTACCATGGTGATATTTGTGGAAACCGTTCTTTGCTTGGTGGTACAATGGTGACATATTGTGTGTGTTATCCACACTATGCTTGGTGGTACGATCGTTATATTTGATTGCTACCGTAATGTATTTGTAGATTCCAACTGTTTATAATAAATTGTTTTTTATGTATTTCTGTCAATTTATTTATTTAAGAATGGAAAAGTATTACATGTCATGAATTGTAATGAATTGTAACATTTCCAACAACAACATGGTGGGTATCGCGGGTGAAGCAGAAGACGCTTACACTTCTGGAACACATTGTCTCATTTTCCTCGTACTTTTTAATGAGTAATTTTTTTCTGTTTTTGATATTTTGCCCTGGATTTGAGTTTGGATTAAGATTTTGACGACATGCTGGTATTTTGTTGTTTTTACTTTTTATCCACTAAATGTTAAATCACCACCACACATTATATATAAATCAAATGTAATAACATAACCATCTGATGTAATAACGTAACCATCAAATGTAATAACATAACCATCTAATGTAATAACGTAACCATCTGATGTAATAACGTAACCATCTGATGTAATAACATAACCATCTGATGTAATAACGTAACCATCTGATGTAATAACGTAACCATCTGATGTAATAACATAACCATCTAATGTAATAACGTAACCATCAAATGTAATAACGTAACCATCTGATGTAATAACATAACCATCTAATGTAATAACGTTACCATCTGATGTAATAACGTAACCATCTGATGTAATAACGTAACCATCTGATGTAATAACATAACCATCTAATGTAATAACGTAACCATCTGATGTAATAACGTAACCATCTGATGTAATAACGTAACCATCTGATGTAATAACGTAACCATCAAATGTAATAACGTAACCATCTGATGTAATAACGTAACCATCTGATGTAATAACGTAACCATCTGATGTAATAACGTAACCATCTGATGTAATAACATAACCATCTAATGTAATAACGTTACCATCTGATGTAATAACGTAACCATCTGATGTAATAACGTAACCATTTAACCATCTAATGTAATAACATAACCATCTGATGTAATAACGTAAACATCTGATGTAATAACATAACCATCTAATGTAATAACGTAACCATCTGATGTAATAACGTAACCATCTGATGTAATAACGTAACCATCTAATGTAATAACGTAACCATCTAATGTAATAACGTAACCACGTAACCATCTAATGTAATAACATAACCATCTGATGTAATAACGTAACCATCTAATGTAATAACGTAACCATCTAATGTAATAACGTAACCATCTAATGTAATAACATAACCATCTGATGTAATAACGTAACCATCTAATGTAATAACGTAACCATCTAATGTAATAACGTAACCATCTAATGTAATAACATAACCATCTGATGTAATAACGTAACCATCTGATGTAATAACGTAACGTAACCATCTGATGTAATAACGTAACCATCTGATGTAATAACATAACCATCTGATGTAATAACGTAACCATCTGATGTAATAACGTAACCATCTGATGTAATAACGTAACCATCTGATGTAATAACATAACCATCTAATGTAATAACGTAACCATCTGATGTAATAACATAACCATCTGATGTAATAACGTAACCATCAAATGTAATAACGTAACCATCTAATGTAATAACGTAACCATCTAATGTAATAACGTAACCATCTGATGTAATGTAATAACGTAACCATCTGATGTAATAACGTAACCATCTGATGTAATAACATAACCATCAAATGTAATAACGTACGCTACACTATATTTTTAAACAACATTTCTTTTTATTTTATTTATTTTACAACTCAATAAAAATGTATGTTATTGAATACTTAAATCACTTTGGCTGTAAAGAATTAAAATAAATTATTAAACTGAGATAAATAAGTAATTTGATAATTTGAATCTTACCAACAGGAGTTAATTTACTTCCACCATCCCGCCACAGGTTAACTTCAAGGAAGTATTTAGCATTTTATCTTTATTGTATAAACTTTTTAAGCCAGAAAGATTTGAAAGAACTGTTCAATTCAAAGAGAGTTTAATGAAATGACTTTTCCTATCCTCCTATCGCAAGACTTTTTTTTCCCCCTACATGTATAGCTAAGAATTTTCTCACATACAAAGATAGCTGTGACATTTGGCTCACCTTGACAACAAATTTTGTTTTAGGAAAAACAATATATAAGTTCCAGCTCTTGTTAACCGTGACGACACATTGTTACAAGTAGGTAATGAATTGAAAAGTCTTGAAATATTAGGATAACTAAAATATTTCTAAACTTTCCATGTCATATAGTGAAAGAGCATTATCCATAAAATGTCAGTCTGGTCATATCTAATAACTTTACAAACTGTTCTATTCTGTATGACATTGCCCCCGATGTTATGTTCTGTGAAAAATTCAGTAGTAATACTGGACATTAATTGTAAATAGCATTTCTTACTCGGACAAACCATTTTCACCAGACGATCCATGGAGTCTCTCAGCTGGTTGAAGGATTTGACAGTCAAGGTATTTTCTGGCCGGGAAGCTATTCCATTCAGTTCTGTCCTGTTAACCAGGTCTGAAATCCCTACAGCAAACATTTCGATGCCGTTTTCCTTCGCTTTCATCGCCTGTTTTAAGGTTTTACGCATATTTTTGGAGCGACCGTCTGTTAGAACCATACCCACAGCAGGAATACCGGGGCGTTTTCTTCTTAACGAGTCAGAATTGAAAATATCACGCATCATCTTAATTCCTTGTGCCGTGTTAGTTCCGTCTTGTGGGTGTGGCAGTTGTCGAATTTTTGCTTTCAGTTTACCCCTGTTGGACGTAAGGCGTTGCGTCATGGAAATGTTTGAACTGAATACGACAATTCCCATACGGACCTCCCCGGATGTTATCTGGAACAAGTCAACCATTTCTTCTACCACCTCCCGTAAGGTCTGAAAGTCATCCTCGCTGATACTATCGGAACCATCCACAACACACACAAAGTCAAGCAAGCGACGGCACTGAGCTGTAATACGCGCATTAAGAATTGATATATAAATAAAACCATACTCATATATGCAAGTCATGATAATACCAAATATAGCTTTTTTGGGTAACAAATCAACTTCTATAGGGTACACTCTTAATTCTCTATCCCATGAGGCAAGAAATTAGATATAACTTCAAGTACCAAGAGTGTATTTGTCAGCAAGGTGTAATCTTTAAAAGAAAGTCTGCATATGTTTTTAGGGAGAATAAAAACCCAAACAAGCGATTGGGAGAAAATTAGAGCATTATTTCTAAAGTAGAAACTCATAAAATAAATTATCAGTATTCGCTTAAATATGACTTACAGCAATGTTTCATTGCATGAAAGAAATCGATGTTTTCGTTAGTTAAGAATAAATAAAAACTTACAATGATCTGCTGACAGTATCGTCAGCACAGACAAGCTAATGACCATGACCAGCAGGACTGACTTTTCCATGTTGTTTTATGGTCCACAGCCTCTGTGTTCCTTTTTTTAATCTTCAGTAAAGTACAAGCTGATGCGACCTTCTGGTACCATCCTCATTAATCAGTGTCACGTGCCCTCCTTACGCGCCCCATCCCGAGGGGGTGTTGATAACTGATAATCAATGTGCAGGATGCACGTGCCTTCCTGGGGGTGCTGCATGGATCGCGGCTACTAAAATGCACAACGAACATCACAATGCCAACTGTTTAAACCGACAAAATATTCTGTCATATTATGATGGACGATTATCATTCTATGCACGTGTTTTATTGACTAGATATGTATTTCTGTTGAATCATTCATTAACCTGTCATCCCTGAACTTACCGCGGGTGCAACCTGCACAGAATCATCGGAGGCGTGGATATCAACACAACTTACAATTGATGAGTTTGTTAAGATCCATTAGTCCTGATTTTAAAGTTTTAGTACTTATACCGACCGGAGGCTATGTCTGTACAATAAAAGTCCATAGGCATCTTCAACCAAATTGTTAAATTTGTTATCAAGTGTAAATATTTGACCACGACATGAAATCTGATTTATCGGTCTTTGATTATCAAAATCTCCTGCTTCTGTTTTACATTTATATATAAATTTAACAACACATGTCTTCCAAGAATCAGGTATGTTAACTCTATTTGAAGCAGCAGAAAACAACTTTCCATAATTTCCCATTCAAAAGACCATCTAATCTTCAATCCTTACGTGAGCAGTTTCATTAGAGTAAGCTCCCTTGTTCAGCTCTTTAAAATGATTGTATAATTCAACGATATTTCCATCTAATTTCTGTCCTGTACTATTGCCCACAATATCATTCAGAATTTACCAGATTTTTTCTTTAATCTTGAGGCGTTCCTTAATTTCGTTTCCAGTTTCTTTTGATGGACTTTATCAAATTTATCTAGAGTTGTCCTGTATTTCTATGTTTTAATTTCGTTCGCGGTGTGATTTTTTCAAGCATTAAAATTACGTTTAGCTTTATGAAAATCTAGGCGCTTAATATGATATTCTCTTGTTAACCAAGGTTTGCTAGTATTTCGCCTTCTGCTGATTAGATGAAAAACCGTCTTTTCCCAAAAAATATGTTTCCCCGAATCAGAATATACGTCTGTGTTATATACGTTAATAAATCAATTGTTGACTGTGTATACTATATCATTTATTCCGTCAGCTTTGACAAAATTATATGGTTTCCCCGAAATTAGATACATTATTTCAAAAATGTCCTTAAAGGTACCATAATCTTCAATGCAAAGTTAGATACCATATCAGTGTTTCATTTCACATAGATACTTGTCCTAACATCTACCATTTAGATTGTCTGAGTCCGTTTTTTTCAAGCAAAATTACAAAATCTACGATGAACATCTGAAACGTAAGATTTCAAGATCGACAATTTCAAAATTTGAAACTTTTTCAACAAAATCTGACGATAATAAGAAAAAGTAAATTACAATTGTATCACTTGAATACTGGAAATATTTATTTTCTTTACAAAATTCTACCAGTTTATAGCCAAAGCTATTTGATAATAATTTACACTGACTAGCTCTGTTTATTAGTACACCAAATTCATATAATTTTTGCAGATCATGTATATTAGTGTAAAATTCGACGTTCTCATTTAGACCAGGGGCTTCTATTAGTGTATCGTTAGATTGTTACAAAACATCTTTAAGTTAAGGTGTGTCACTAAAGACGCCAATCTAAGGTGGTTTACATATGTTTTAAGTTCGCCGTTCACACCAAAAGTTTCAATAAGAGTATCGTCAGATTGTACAAAATCAGTTTTGTATTAGAATCACCAATCATACTTATGTACACGTGTTTTCAGCTAGTTCATTTATCTGATTTTTTATTGCTTCAAAGCAATCAGTAGACGGAGGTTGTGAGTTTTTAGGAGGAATGCATACACAACCTTATCATATCATAATACTTATAATCATTAAACAAACTCCTACGGAGTGTTGTGAAAACACAGCTGAGATTTAACTTTATATATAATACTACCAGATTTCTTCTTCATTTCTTTTGACATGTTTTTTTCAAAGGTATACGAGCTTCTGTGGTACCTGTAGCACATCACAATCACCCGTCTTACCTTCAACAAAAACTAATATTTCATATACTCAGTGAATAATACAAATTCAGGGGAACGGGTGAGGGGGCGGGGGGTTTGTCAAATAATAATGCCTTAAGGGCACATGAAAGGTGTTCCGCCATGTTATCATTTCGTTTCTTCGGCTTTCTAGTCTGTACATCTTAGGCCTTCTATCTTTAAACATCTTAATCTGTCTATCTTTAAACATCACAGAAAACATCCCCTACAGAAAAAAAATACATTAAACGTCCACTACGTAAACATCCATGTCAAAAATGCCACTGAACACATTCAACATAGAAAACATTTTCAAAACATCTACTACAGAAGAAAATTATACAGAAATTACCACAGAAAACATACACTACAGAAAACATCCTCTACAAAAAACATACACTACAAAAAACATACACTTCAGAAAACATCCTACAGAAAACATACACTACAGAAAACATACACTACAGAAAACATTCTCTGCAGAAAACATACACTACAGAAAACATACACTACAGAAAACATACACTACAGAAAACATACACTTCAGAAAACATCCTCTACAGAAAACATACTACAGAAAACATACACTACAAAAAACATACACTTCAGAAAACATACACTACAGAAAACATACACTACAGAAAACATACACTACAGAAAACATACACTACAGAAAACATACACTACAGAAAACATCCTCTACAGAAAACATACACTTCAGAAAACATACACTACAGAAAACATACACTACAGAAAACATACACTACAGAAAACATACACTACAGAAAACATACACTACAGAAAACATACACTACAGAAAACATCCTCTACAGAAAACATACACTACAGAAAACATACACTACAGAAAACATACACTACAGAAAACATCCTCTACAGAAAACATACACTACAGAAAACATACACTACAGAAAACATACACTACAGAAAACATACACTACAGAAAACATACAGAAAACTACAGAAAACATACATACACTACAGAAAACATACACTACAGAAAACATACACTACATCCTCTACAGAAAACATACACTACAGAAAACATACAGAAAACATTCTCTACAGAAAACATACACTACAGAAAACATACACTACAGAAAACATACACTACAGAAAACATACACTACAGAAAACATTCTCTACAGAAAACATACACTACAGAAAACATTCTCTACAGAAAACATACACTACAGAAAACATACACTACAGAAAACATACACTACAGAAAACATACACTACAGAAAACATACAGAAAACATACACTACAGAAAACATACACTACAGAAAACATCCTCTACAGAAAACATACACTACAGAAAACATACACTACAGAAAACATTCTCTACAGAAAACATACACTACAGAAAACATTCTCTACAGAAAACATACACTACAGAAAACATTCTCTACAGAAAACATTCTCTACAGAAAACATTCTCTACAGAAAATTCTCTACAGAAAACATACACTAACATTCTCTACAGAAAATATACACATACAGAAAACATACACTACAGAAAACATACACTACAGAAAACATACTCTACAGAAAACATACACTACAGAAAACATACACTACAGAAAACATACTCTACAGAAAACATACACTACAGAAAACATACACTACAGAAAACATACACTACAGAAAACATCCTCTACAGAAAACATACTACAGAAAACATACACTACAGAAAACATACACGACAGAAAACATACACTACAGAAAACATACACTTCAGAAAACATCCTACAGAAAACATACACTACAGAAAACATACACTACAGAAAACATTCTACAGAAAACATACAGAAAACATTCACAGAAAACACAGAAAACATACACTACAGAAAACATACACTACAGAAAACATCCTCTACAGAAAACATACATACACTACAGAAAACATTCTCTACAGAAAACATACACTACAGAAAACATCCTCTACAGAAAACATACACTACAGAAAACATACACTACAGAAAACATCCTACAGAAAACATACACTACAGAAAACATACACTACAGAAAACATACACTACAGAAAACATACACTACAGAAAACATACACTACAGAAAACATACACTACAGAAAACATTCTCTACAGAAAACATTCTCTACAGAAAACATCCTCTACAGAAAACATACACTACAGAAAACATACACTACAGAAAACATACACTACAGAAAACATCCTACAGAAAACATACACTACAGAAAACATACACTACAGAAAACATACACTACAGAAAACATACACTACAGAAAACATACACTACAGAAAACATACACTACAGAAAACATCCTCTACAGAAAACATACAGTACAGAAAACATACACTACAGAAAACATACACTACAGAAAACATACACTACAGAAAACATACACTTCAGAAAACATACACTACAGAAAACATTCTCTACAGAAAACATCCTCTACAGAAAACATACACTACAGAAAACATACACTACAGAAAACATACACTACAGAAAACATACACTACAGAAAACATACACTACAGAAAACATACACTACAGAAAACATACTCTACAGAAAACATACACTACAGAAAACATACACTACAGAAAACATACACTACAGAAAACATACACTACAGAAAAAACATACAGAAAACATCCTCTACAGAAAACATACACTACAGAAAACATTCACTACAGAAAACATACACTACAGAAAACATCCACTACAGAAAACATACACGACAGAAAACATACACTACATACACTAACATCCTCTACAGAAAACATACACTACAGAAAACATACACTACAGAAAACATACACTACAGAAAACATTCTCTACAGAAAACATACAGAAAACATACAGACAGAAAACATACACTACAGAAAACATACACTACAGAAAACATTCTCTACAGAAAACATACACTACAGAAAACATACACTACAGAAAACATACACTACAGAAAACATACACTACAGAAAACATACACTACAGAAAACATTCTCTACAGAAAACATACACTACAGAAAACATACACTACAGAAAACATCCTCTACAGAAAACATACACTACAGAAAACATTCAATACAGAATAAAAAGTATTGACCGTTTTTGCGTTTACAACAATTAAGTAATCTTATCAAGTGTGCATTGACCTCTGACCTTACTAATGGCTGTGACCGTCATCCAATTCCTGACCGGAACTCTGCTTTTTTGTTTCGTATCATTGACCAAAAATATCATTCGTACGCAATATAAAGCTTTCACATTGACAATCAAATGTTAACAGTATCACAACGCCATTTGTGGGACAGCTGTAGCTTGTGTACATAACGACACTCGTATTACGCGATTTGAGCACGATATGAGCACGACAGGAAAAGCAACCGGATATTGCAAATCTGTCTTAAATGAACGTCTCGTCTCGTCTAGTCTCGTCTAGACTCGCAAATAAATCATCTAAAAGTTTGTACCAAAACATAGGACATATCATTTACGTCCCTGTTGTACTATTCTCAATTTTCTAGCATTTTGTGAAGGAAAACCTACATACACATGTACGGATCTGTCAGGTACATCACGTATACAAAAATAAGAAAACATGCCCCTATTTATTACTTATTTATTAAACGAGTTTTACGTCCGCTGTTACGGCATTTCGGCCTTTCAGTGGACGATCCAGACATCACGAGTTCCGACCCCTAGAAAGGTTTTTTTGTTGCCCGCAGCACATCACTCCCCATTCTCTGATGTGAAAATATACCAAAGAGAGGGTCCGGTTGTATTTTGGAAACTGTCAAATTAGAAAATAGCTTTATGATCACCAAACAAAATTTAATACGCTTCTGATCACTATTCAATACAGTACTAAAAGTAACTCATGTGTATTATTACAGCAGTAAAATTAACTCCTTATTACTGTGTAACACATTATTATTACTGTAGTAAAATTAACTCCTGTGTGTTTAACTCATGTGTACTGTAGTAAAATTAACTCCTGTGTATTATTACTGTAGTAAAATTAACTCCTGTGTGTTATTACTGTAGTAAAAGTAACTCATGTGTATTATTACAGCAGTAAAATTAACTCCTGTGTATTATTACTGTAGTAAAATTAACTCCTGTGTATTATTACTGTAGTAAAATTAACTCATGTGTATTATTACAGCAGCAAAAATTAACTCCTGTGTATTATTACTGTAGTAAAATTAACTCCTGTGTATTATTACTGTAGTAAAATTAACTCGTGTGTATTATTACAGCAGTAAAATTAACTCCTGTGTATTATTACTAAAATTAACTCCTGTGTATTATTACTAAAATTAACTCCTGTGTATTATTACTGTAGTAAAATTAACTCATGTGTATTATTACTGTAGTAAAATTAACTCGTGTGTATTATTACTGTAGTAAAATTAACTCGTGTGTATTATTACAGCAGTAAAATTAACTCCTGTGTATTATTACTGTAGTAAAATTAACTCATGTGTATTATTACTGTAGTAAAATTAACTCCTGTGTATTATTACTGTAGTAAAATTAACTCCTGTGTATTATTACTGCAGTAAAATTAACTCATGTGTATTATTACTGTAGTAAAATTAACTCCTGTGTATTATTACAGCAGTAAAATTAACTCATGTGTATTATTACTGTATGTATTAAATTTAACTCCTGTGTATTATTACTTTAGTAAAATTAACACATGTGTATTATTACACAGTAAAATTAACTCCTGTGTATTATTACTGTAGTAAAATTAACTCCTGTGTATTATTACTGTAGTAAAATTAACTCCTGTGTATTATTACTGTAGTAAAATTAACTCATGTGTATTATTACTGTAGTAAAATTAACTCCTGTGTATTATTACTGTAGTAAAATTAACTCCTGTGTGTTATTACTGTAGTAAAATTAACTCCTGTGTATTATTACTGTAGTAAAATTAACTCCTGTGTGTTATTACTGTAGTAAAATTAACTCCTGTGTATTATTACTGTAGTAAAATTAACTCCTGTGTATTATTACAGCAGTAACATTAACTCGTGTGTATTATTACTGTAGTAAAATTAACTCCTGTGTATTATTACAGCAGTAAAATTAACTCGTGTGTATTATTACACAGTAAAATTAACTCCTGTGTATTATTACTGTAGTAAAATTAACTCGTGTGTATTATTACACAGTAAAATTAACTCATGTGTATTATTACAGCAGTAAAATTAACTCGTGTGTATTATTACACAGTAAAATTAACTCCTGTGTGTTATTACAGCAGTAAAATTAACTCATGTGTATTGTTACTGTAGTAAAATTAACTCATGTGTATTATTACAGCAGTAAAATTAACTCATGTGTATTATTACTGTAGTAAAATTAACTCCTGTGTATTATTACTGTAGTAAAATTAACTCCTGTGTATTATTACAGCAGTAAAATTAACTCCTGTGTATTATTATAAAATTAACTCATGTGTATTATTACTGTAGTAAAATTAACTCGTGTGTATTATTACTGTAGTAAAATTAACTCCTGTGTATTATTACTGTAGTAAAATTAACTCATGTGTGTTATTACTGTAGTAAAATTAACTCCTGTGTATTATTACAGCAGTAAAATCAACTCCTGTGTATTATTACTGTAGTAAAATTAACTCCTGTGTATTATTACACAGTAAAATTAACTCATGTGTGTTATTACAGCAGTAAAATCAACTCCTGTGTATTATTACTGTAGTAAAATTAACTCCTGTGTGTTATTACAGCAGTAAAATTAACTCCTGTGTATTATTACTGTAGTAAAATTAACTCCTGTGTATTATTACAGCAGTAAAATTAACACATGTGTATTATTACTGTAGTAAAATTAACTCCTGTGTGTTATTACTGTAGTAAAATTAACTCCTGTGTGTTATTACTGTAGTAAAATTAACTCCTGTGTATTATTACAGCAGTAAAATTAACTCATGTGTATTATTACTTTAGTAAAATTAACTCCTGTGTATTATTACACAGTAAAATTAACTCGTGTGTATTATTACTGTAGTAAAATTAACTCCTGTGTATTATTACTGTAGTAAAATTAACTCCTGTGTATTATTACAGCAGTAAAATTAACACAGGTGTATTATTACACAGTAAAATTAACTCATGTGTATTATTACTGTAGTAAAATTAACTCATGTGTATTATTACTGTAGTAAAATTAACTCGTGTGTATTATTACTAAAATTAACTCGTGTGTATTATTACACAGTAAAATTAACTCCTGTGTATTATTACTGTAGTAAAATTAACACATGTGTATTATTACACAGTAAAATTAACTCATGTGTATTATTACTGTAGTAAAATTAACTCATGTGTATTATTACTGTAGTAAAATTAACGCGTGTGTGTTATTACTGTAGTAAAATTAACGCGTGTGTATTATATATGCATTACAGTCAAACTTAGAATTTCGAAGGACTACCAAAATGACTTCGATACATCGAGACTTCGAATCATTCCAGGGGAGCTATATCGACGTTTCCACGATGTTTCTTCCTGAACAAACACAACAAATACCACATCACACGTATAAATAAAAATATGCATTTTCATCTTATAACATTTTCATTCATAGAAAAATAACTTTACATAGAAATCAAGGAGATATTGATAAAGCGTGGTTAGGTATACGGTCGCGCCTTCCTGTCACAAAGTATATGTATTTTACGGATCGATTTTAAATAAAACGGCGCACAGCATTAAAATGGTCTGCAAGTGTTACAGTAATTATTTCAAGACTTATAGGAACTAATTCATTCAAAAGAATGCAAATTAATATCATAATGTATTTTGTCCAGAAATGACAGTACTAACATCACACATCTTCGGTCATAGAAAATACAAGAATGTTTGTCGATGTTCTGACGACGGCCAGCCTGAATCAATCGGAGAACGCATAATTGACTGATAAATCAACGTGTTTCTCGTGCTTTTATGTTTAAAACTGAAATGTGACACTTTGGGAATGAATGAAATCATCATACAAGTGATAGGATTTCCTCCGATTGTTTTCACAATTCCGTAAATTATACCTAACTGAATATGCCTAACTAAATACTATCACCACAATGGCGGCGGTGACCATCACACGATGTCCCATTATATTTGATGAAACATCATGGCTTGTAAGTAAGCAATTAAATTCTAACTGTGCCCAGTCATTAGCTAACCTCGTAACACAGAGCCAATGTAGCGGGCTAAGGTAATCCCATTGTCAGGTAGCATTCTTCGTTGAAGTGTGTGCAATTTTGCAGCTGGGCCAAAAAATACTTTGTACAGTACTAATAAATGTTCGAATCATGAGGTGTCAATGACAGTGTTGGTTTATATCTTACGGTCCGTGAAAAACTTTGTTACATCGAAAAGTTCAATTTATAAAGCTTCGATTCATAATGGGGTACGTTAGTAGTAATATATAAGAATAAAATTCGGGAACGGACAAAAACTTTGATACATCGAGAAATTCGAATTATCGAAGTTCGATTCAACGAAGTTTGACTGTTTTTTAAAACAGCAATAATATCAAATTATAGGTAAAGATAGAATAGTAGAAATAAATGTTATATAACTTTAGAAAAAACAGTGATTAGATAGTAAGAAAAGTTATCTCACAGAAAGAACCTACGATACAAAAACGAATTTTAGATAATTTCAAATCTTCGGCGATATAATGGAAATAATGACGTCATTCTTCGTGACATCAACAACACGATTGCTAAACGACTGTTGTCCGTTACGTGATGTCACAGAAATCGATAAACAAAAGGAAGTGTTAACTGTAGTTTGTTTAAGCTATTTATAAGTGCATATTGAACTGGAGAAATATTTTAAGTTATTGAACTATTCAAAACTTTAGAGACTTTATTTTATGTATATCTGGTCTGTATTTTACGTTTTCACATTTTTTTATTTACCGTATAAAATACGAGATCATTAATTAAGCGAAGCTGTGATAATACACAAGAGTGTATTAACGCGCGTGACGTAATGGGTAAGCCTTGGCATAGCCCAATCAGCTGTGATGTTTCGGGAGACAATGGTAAGTTAAGAAAACCTCTAGGACTGATGTGTACGTATGAATAAGTATGTTTATCACGCCTCGCTGCTCTAATGTCACGGGGGGATTCCCCGACATACATCACATCGTAACACACGTCTAACGTCATCCACTTCTATCCGGAATAAAACACTCCGAGCGTCATTACAATATATCTCAGTGGTAGTGATTTTCGTTCAAACAATGAGGATTTTCATAGCGACATTGATTCTACTCCAGTATACGCTTGTATCACGATGCCAATTTCTAAATACAGGTAAGTGATGTTTGTCTTATTTCTTTTCTAGGCCTGTCATACTTAGTGTAATGACAAATGACAAGCCTTCCGGTGTAGTCAGGTAATTAATGTCAGGCTGAAATACATACGCCTACTGTTTATACAGACACTATGTTTAACAGGTATCAATATTTCGGCTCGAAACATGGCACAAAAATAATCCCGATAGCAGTATATCTAAACAAGACTTTATGGTTTCAGAACCATCTAAACGCTTTGTTCCATGTTAAACTAATTATACTGTTACAACACCAAATATTCATAATGGATGCCAGAATTTATTATGTCATGAACTGGGCATTCCACCTTAACCTACATATCAGCTTGACATGATAATATATAGAATATGCAATATATTTTTAGTACACTTCAAACTTTACATTTGTTATATCGAAAAAACATCACATATAACACCTTTGTTATACACATCACATATAACACTTTGTTATACACACCACATCTAACACATTGTTATAAACATCACATATAACACTTTGTTATACTCACCACATATAACACTTTGTTATACACATCACATATAACACTTTGTTACACACATCACATATAACACTTTGTTATACACACCACATCTAACACATTGTTATAAACATCACATATAACATTTTGTTATACAAATCACATATAACACTTTGTTATACTCACCACATATAACACTTTGTTATACACATCACATATAACACTTTGTTACACACATCACATATAACACTTTGTTATACACATCACATATAACACATTGTTATAAACATCACATATAACATTTTGTTATACAAATCACATATAACACTTTGTTATACACATCACATATAACACTTTGTTACACACATCAAACATAACACATTGTTATACACATCACATATAACACTTTGTTACACACATCAAACATAACACATTGTTATACACATCACATATAACACTTTGTTACACACATCAAACATAACACATTGTTATTATACACATCACATATAACACTTTGTTACACACATCACTTTGTTACACACATCACATAACACTTTGTTATATAACACATACACATCACATATAACACTAACACACTTTGTTATACACACACATCACATATAACACTTTGTTATACACATCACATATAACACTTTGTTATACACATCACATATAACACTTTGTTACACACATCACATATAACACTTTGTTATACACATCACATATAACACTTTGTTATACAAATCACATATAACACTTTGTTACACACATCACATATAACACTTTGTTACACTCATCACATATAACACTTTGTTATACACATCACATATAACACTTTGTTATACAAATCACATATAACACTTTGTTATACACATCACATATAACACTTTGTTACACATATCAAACATAACACATTGTTATACACACCACATCTAACACATTGTTATAAACATCACATATAACACTTTGTTATACACATCACATATAACACTTTGTTACACACATCAAACATAACACTTTGTTATACACATCACATATAACACATTGTTATACACATCACATATATCACTTTGTTATACAAATCAAACATGAGACTTTGTTATACACATCACATATAACACTTTGTTATACACATCACATATAACACATTGTTATACACATCACATATAACACTTTGTTATACACATCACATATAACACTTTGTTATACACACCACATCTAACACATTGTTATAAACATCACATATAACACATTGTTATACACATCATATATAACACTTTGTTACACATATGACATGTAACAATTTGTTACACACATCACATATAACACTTTGTTATAAACATCACATATAACGCTTTGTTATACACATCACATATAACACTTTGTTATACACACCATTCACTTCAAACCAGAAACTTTTTCATACATTTCAAACTAAAAAGTTTATCATACACTTTTAACCAGAGACTTCAAACTAGAAAGTTTGTCGTACACTTCTAACCGCAAAGGTCGTCATATATTTCAACCCAAAAGCGTTGTCATTCACTTCTAACCAGAAACTTTTTGATACACTTCAAACTAGAAAGTTCGTCATACACTTCTAACCGCAAAGGTTGTCATTCATTTCAAACCAGAAACTTTGTCATACACTTCAAACCAGAAAGTTTGACATACTCTCCAAACCAAAAAGTTTGACATACTCTCCAAACCAGAATTTCGTTATACACTTATGACCAGAAACTTTGTCATACACTTCAAACCAGAACCTTTTCATACAACACAAACCAGAACATTTGCCACATACCAAAACCCAGAAATGTTTCCATGCTGTTCAAGGTAGAAAGTTTGCCATACACTTCAAACCAGCACGTTTGTCATACAGTTCCAGCTAGAAAGTATGTCATACACTTTCAACTAGAAAGTTTGCCATACCCTTCAAACAAGAAAGTTTGCCATACCCTTCAAACAAGAAAATTTGTCATACACTTCAAACCAATAAGTTTGTCATAGTTCCAGCTAGAAAGTATGTCATACACTTCAAACTAGAAAGTTTGTCATTCACTTGAAACCAAAATGTTTGTCATACACTTCAAACCAAAAACGTTGTCATTCACTTCAAACTAGAACCTTTTTATACACCTCAAACCAGACCATTTGCCACGCACCAAAACCCAGAAACGTTTTCATGCAGTTCAAACCAGAAAGTTTGTCGTACACTTCTAAAAAGAAAGATTGTCATACACTTTTAACTAGAAAGTTTGCCATACACTTCAAACCAGAAACTTTTTCATACACTTCAAACTAGAAAGTTTGTCATACACTTCAAACCAGCATGTTTGTCATACAGTTCCAGCTAGAAAGTTTGTCATACACTTCTAACCAGAAAGTTTGTCATACACTTCATACCAGAAAATTTGTCATACAAATCAAACCAAAAAATTTGTCATACACATCCAACTAGAAAGTTTTGTCATACACCTCAAACCAGAACCTTTGCCACACACCAAAATGAAAAAAAAAATTCATGCACTTCAAAGTAGAAAGTTTGCCATATGCTTCAAACCTGAAAGATTGTCATACATTTTTAACTAGAAAGTTTGTCATACACTTCAAACTAGAAAGTTTGTCATACACTTCAAACCAGCAAGTTTGTCATACACTTCAAACTAGAAGGTTTGTCATACACTTCAAACTAAAAGCTTTGGCATTCACTTGAAACCAAAATGTTTGTCATACACTGCAAACCAAAAACGTTGTCATACACTTCAAACTAGAAGGTTTGTCATACACTTCAAACTAAAAGCTTTGTCATTCACTTGAAACCAAAATGTTTGTCATACACTTCAAATCCAAAACAATGTCATTCACTTGAAACAGAAAGGTTGCCATCAAATTCAAACTAGAAAGTTTGTCATACACTTCTAACCAGATAGGTTGTCATACACTTCAAATCCAAAACAATGTAATTCACTTGAAACAGAAAGGTTGTCATCAAATTCAAACCAGAAAGTCTATCGTACACTTCAAGCTAGAAATTTTGTCATACATCTCAAACCAGAAGGTTTGTTATACACTTCAAACCAGAAGGTTTGTCATACACGTCAAACCAGAAGGTTTGTCATACACGTCAAACCAGAAGGTTTGTCATACACGTCAAGCCAGAAAGTTTGTCATCCACTTCAAACCAGAAGGTTTGTCATACACTTCAAACCAGAAAGTTTGTCATACACGTCAAACCAGAAAGTTTGTTATACACTTCAAACCAGAAAGTTTGTTATACACGTCAAACCAGAAAGTTTGTCATACACGTCAAACCAG